GCCAATCGGGGGATTTAAGAGATAGCTGCGACATAGACCAACCTTCAGGAATAAAACCAGGTGTTTCGTTCGACAGGGCATCAAGTGTCTTCTCACATAGGGTTTCTCAGCCTGAACTACACGGAGATAGTCACTGGTTGGATCATTGTTAAAGGAGCTTCTAGGGATCCAGAACAGAAGTCGTTGTTTAATTTCTGACACAAGGTTACTATTTATAAAAATATTTCAATTAGCGAAACGTTGACACTTCTCAAGAAGTGCTGCCCTGGGCAATGCCCCATTTACACTGTATATCATTTCATGTCTGTTTTGACACAAAACAGCTGACAATTGCGTACGTACGAAACTACTCATCACGGATATGTGATTGTTGTGAGAATTACATACTCCCCCTCCGACATCGCCCCTTCCAGAGGTAAGCGTCAAGTGATTGGCGCGTTTTATTTGTAAATTATAATGAATATTATTAACTGATATTTGTTTATAAAATCTTTATATTGGCTAATTCGTATTTTTGTGACATAGATTTTTTAGATCGCCTCGGAGTTCCCTTTTAAAAAATAATCTATTTACATTACATTCGATAAATATCGTTGGTGGGTCTCACTTCTAAGTCGCATGAGATTGCTGAAGTCCCACGCCATTGCCTTCGATACATAGAAGTAGGTCACGGTGAGGTTTAGAGGAATGATCTCATTCCATTTCTTATTCGCTGTCCAGACGTTATTGCCATTAAAAACTCCCACTTGTACACTCTGGTGGAGATACTTAATGAAACTCTTTAGGCGCGCTTTTTTCCCCTCCCGTGATCCTAAAGGAAATGGGCTGATAAAAAGCAAGGAAAGGTCGAGAACTAATTGACGGCGTTCTATACCGACTCGCACGATGGCCACGGTAACTACTGAAGATTACGCATTTGCGTACAATGTTATGGAAAACAATATCTGTTACTTGAGCATTAACGTTTTTTTTCTTTCGAACTGGTGCGTAAATTAGATATTATATAAAATAAAACAAAACTAGTGGTGTTACAGAATGGCCTAGACATTCTCGCACTATTTAGTGTTTTCATCTCTTTAGTATAGACGAAGCTTTTCTTTGTTGCTCCATCGCACTCCTACAGAGCGTCACCCTATGCCCGTCCAAAATACCCCCCCCCCAATTTTCGATCATCTCTTGTAGAAATGAAACATGTCTTGAGGAGTATTTAAAGAGAAACAATTCAAAGAAAAAATGGATATGGCTAGGCTAGTGTAGCTGGTGATGCACTGCACCGGAGCCTCGGAAGTCAGGGGCTCCGAAAAAATATCCCCGCCAACATCCAATAAAAGCTAATGCTCTTGATCAACAATATGTATAAAGAATTCCTTGGTAAAAAATATGTAACAAATTACTCGTCACCAGATTATTAAGGTTATTCCTTATTACTGATGCAATTAAGTGCGGGAAAATTATTTCAAGAAACAACGCAATAACATTAACAAACGGTCAGTGGTTGAACGACCAGGTATTCACAGTGCGTCCGCCGCTTCGTCTCTATATTTACGTCCATCGCTATCAGCTCTGCTTAGAATTGCCACCTGTCCAAAGTGTCTCAGCGGAAAAAATTATATTCTGCATCAAACTTAAGGGGAGCGTTAGTATCAAGCGGATGTTCGAGAAATTG